TGAGATTAGATTCCGGCGGAAGAGATTCGAGCCCTAATCCGATCAACATCGCACCGGGTAAAATGCTTACAATTACCCCTCTAAGGGTAATTTCGTGTACAAGGGCAAAATTGGTATTATCGGAGGAATATTCGGGAGAATCAAAAAGATTCTATCGAGTTTAACACCGTTAGAGCGATTTGTAAGATGTCGGGGGTTTTCGTAATTACGAGAACGTGGGGGGGATTTTCGTTATTTAGGCTTACCTCAGGGGGTTTTGGTAATTTGCCCTTATTTTTTACATATTTAACAGAAGGATATAATAGACATTTCACGTTTTCGGTTAAAAAAATCCGGTCAACCGTTAGTCAAGGGGGGTTTTCGTAATTACGAGAACGTGAGGGGGATTTTCGTTATTTAGGCTTACCTCAGGGGGTTTTGGTAATTTTCCCTATTTATAATGACCCCTATAAGATTAAGGTCACCATAATATAGTAAGTATTACCAACAAAAAAGGAATTAGAAAGATACTCGAACTCGTATTATAAAAGTATGTATATATACAAGGTATAGATCCAACTCTTCTCTCACCCTTGTGAAAGATTGATGGAAGAATTAACGCCTGATCAGCTTGGTTTAAGGCTAATTAACACCGGCGATGACTCCGTAATTCGGCGTATCGGGGTTCGTGGTACCGTACATGTAAGACAAATTCATAGGACGCGTCAGGGTCAAAACGTCAACTGCAGTGGTTTGACCGAAGAAGATATCGAAAACTGTCTGAAAACAAGGAATTCGTGTCGTAAAGGAGAGGATGAGGAGAGTGAAATTTGTGCGATTTGCTTGGATGATATGATCGCGTCTTGTGACAAAGAAAACAAAGAAAACGAGGGGACGACGACGACAACGGCGATTGGGATTCTCAATTGCGGACATGAATATCATGTGTGTTGCATCAAACGATGGTTGCGTACGAAGAATTCTTGTCCGCTATGTAAAGCCGTCGCATCACGTTGGACTGGATATGGAAAATGCTGCTATGGATTATTTCGTTTTAGATAATTTCAGATTTATGTTGCCGGCTAATCTTCCTTGTCGTGCCTCTTTTGTTTTTTTTTTTTTTTTTTTTTTTTTTTTTTTTGGGTTATTTGGGTATTAGTATCCCATGTTACTTAACATCAACATCAAAAGTATATTCAATTAATTTATTTATTTTACTGTTTTTTGCACCATATTTTCGTTACTTTGATAATAGTTACAACCATAAATTTATAATACAATCATCTGAATATTGTATATAAATATATTCAAAAGAAAAATATAATATTTCTATTATATTGTCCATCAACCTTAATTTGATGTTTTTGGCACCATATTAATTTGCTGTTTTTGGCACCATATTTTCATTACTTTTATAATATATAGTTACAATCATCTGAATATTATTTCTACTTATTAGCCTGGATTTGAGCTCGTGTGTTACACGTGCGGATTTTGCGCCTGCGTGTGTATTTTTTTTCCCTGGAAACACTAAAATATTCTTTTAATTAATTTTTTTAGAAATTATAGATTCACCCCAGAAAAATTAGGGGCCTTAAGATATAACTCCTTAGTGACAAACCTTATTAGAACTAAATGACAATCTTAACTAAACATTTGTTACACATCCATCATAAAATTCATTCCAAAAATGCCCTCGGGCATTAAATATATTTTTATTTTTCCAACCAACATTTTTAATTTCTTTTATACAAAACAAGTTTAATTTTCTTTTTCTTTCAAAACCAAAACCCTAGCACCATCAAAGAGGCTTAGATGCAACCACCTCCCACCGTAGACTAACTTCACACCACCGTCTCCAACGGCCATCTACCACCATAACTATCCGCTCTAATATACGACAACCGTTGCCGCTCTCAACCGTCATGAGGCATGTATTACCGCTGCAATTTGCAGATCTGTAATTCTCTCCGACCGCCACCCACCATAGCCACCATAATTGAGTGAGCGAGAGAGAGATAGATAGAGCGAGAGGGAGAGGAAGAGGCGAGAGGGAGAGGGAGAAGAAGAGGCGAGAGGGAGAGGGAGCGGCGAGAGAGAGGCGACAAAGAAAACAAAAAAAAATCTAATTAGTTGAAGAAACGTGGGATATTATATTTAGGGTATAAGGGCAAACTAGGATAACATAGAAATTAGGGACGTGGGTCATATATTATTTTGAAATAGGGATTTAATTAAAAGATTGAATTTAAGGTTGTCATTTAGTTCAAATTAGGTTTCATTTAAGGGACCCTTAGCATATTACCCCGAAAAATTAAGCCCCAAAATGAAGTTTTTCAAAATTTTCAATTCACCCAATTTTTCGGTTACTCGTAAACGGTGGCTCTCCCCCCACGTGCGCAACGGTGGATGTACAAAATAAGGTCTTCAATAGAGAGTTGTTTGGTTTTAGGTTGGGGAAGGGGGATCAGGAGACGGGGTGGGTAGTGTGGGGAAGATGAAGCGCTCTCTCTCACTCTCCTTTTCCTTTTTCTATTTTTTTTTTTTTTTGGTATTTTGTTTTCAATTTTTTTATTTTAGTTGAGTATTTTGTTTTATTTTTACGTAAGGGCAATTTTGTCATTTCATCTAAGGCAACCGTAAAAACAAAATAAGGGGCAATGTGCTTCGTAAAAATAATATAGCTGGTGTATTATTATTTGCCTGTCCAGCCCCAACGTTCCTCGCACTACAGGTGCGTGACCAATGCTCAGATCCACCACATATAAAACATATATGTATGTTCTGATTTTGAGCTCTATTCAGATTTTAAAGTTCATATATAAATCGTTTATGAATTCACTTGCTCCTTGTGTATTGTCTTTTGGTAATCAAAACGACTAGTGAGGGTATCCCATTCTTTATAGGGACCCTCATTCGATGAATAGTCCAGACTGAGGACTTGATCTAATTATTTCGTAATCAGAAACATAGTTTCAGCCTTCTGGGCTTTACCTAATAAATTATCCTCGAAAACAACCACTCTCAATTGTTCACTAAGCGTATGAATCTTAACATCTATTCTCCAACTAATATAACTTTCACCAGATACATTAAGTTTGGTAAACTTGAGTTTGCTCATTTGTTTCATCTCAAATCAAATACAATATGGAGTATTATTGTTTTATAGGAATGTAACATCCATAAAACAGTTCCATTAACATTTTTACTTATTAGAACTTTTGGTCTAACAATTCATATAATGCACGTTTGTACATATTTATGTACCCATGATTCACGACTTGCATTAGACAAAGAATATAAGAGAACCAAATATTGCTTACCATACTTCATAAAATTACATATGAAAATAAAACAATGCGCCAAGCGAGAATTCTCAATTAGAGATAGACCAAAGTCTTCATGCAAGATAATATAAATTTGTCAAACATCAAAGACATAGCATGCTCAATAATATTGGTATAAAAGATAACCAAAACTGTATTAATTATCATGTATATATAACTCATACAAATTCCACGAACTAATTTGAAATGACTGGAATAGTTGATTATCAGTTAAATAAATAGATCCATAATGCAAAATTCATACAATCACATTGGGAGTAAGGGATAATACGTAAAGAGCATGAGACAAAAGAATATATCACCAGATTTTCATCACTTTGAATCTCAAACATTGACATCATCATATATAAAATACAAAGAATTATATAGCGTGATTCAGACGACCAAATGCATGTCAATATTTCATACTTGAACATGCAATACTTTTGCCCAATAATAAGATATCATTTCACATGCTCAGAGCAATTATTATATAAAGTAGGAAGACATTTTAATCACACTATTCGTAGAATAAAGATTACCAATCATATCATATTTTCAAATAATCCACGGTATTAATGAATATAAATATATACTTCATTTATTTCATGTCATTAAAGAGATCTATCATGCATATCTTACGAAATCAAAATTGCAAGGAGATTAAATTTTACTTGAAACGCTTAAATCCAAATATTACGAAAAATATTGTACATTCTACCGATATTACCTGGATCACAAGTTCTCCAAATAACCTTGTCCCACGAACAATTACCTTTCCACGAGCACCTCCAATTCTTCGAGTATCCTCACCTTACGAACGATTGTCTTTCAACGATAACGGTGAGCACTTCGTGCAGATAGTGTATTGTAAAATGGTCTGTTTAATCTAGCACTTTGGTTTGTGATTGTGGAAATAACATAAGAACGTAAAATAACAATAATAGAGAGAGGAGAAGAAAAGAACACAAATGAGCAACAAGAGGGACAAACATATAGACATAATTGTAGGTGTCTTTAGAGGAGGGGAGATTCTCATTTATATATCTGTAAACTACCGGCAGTTACATGGAAGTTATTTCTCCACTAACACCATAGAATAGTAATGAAGAAGTTAATAAACTAGCGAGAAGTTAAGAACCATCAAGTAGTGGTTACGCTAGGAAATCCCACATTCCACATTATTCACAACAGGGTTAAAGTTGTAATTTTCTATATGCATTCACCCCTAATAAATATATCTAAGTTAAGATTGTTAGCAGGAAGTTGATAAAACTATGTACCCCAACTCCTCCAAACCTTACCAAGTACGAGTTGATAATGTTGTCTAAGCATGAAAGTTACATTAAATGATTTCATGGAACATCTTTTAATTAGCAATTCGACATTACAAAAACAACGGGTTTTGCAGCGTATTCCTTTTTTCGTTCATACGGAATTCAATTCATATGTTCGGCCATACAATCATAACATGTGACAGGTAATACAATCATGTACTTACACGCACACACGCATAAATTGCGTAAAATGTCAGCACATGATAAATACTCGATTCGAGCAATCGACCACCTGGGCTTAAAACAAAAAGTAACATAAAAAAAGGGGAACAAAATACTATCTTGCAAAAATAATGTTTGTTTCAAATCCAAGAAAGTTATCTCGTGATACTTTTTACTTTCTTTTACCTCCTTTCCGTTTCCCTTTCCCTTTTTTCGACTGCGGTTTCTTCTTACCGTTTCCTTTTCCATTTTTGCTATTATTTTTTCCATCGTCATCCTCGTCATCATCAGAAACAACAGAACTCGAAGGAATCATCTTGTGATCATCCACCATTTGAGATTCAATAGTACTTACATTTGGTGGTTCATTATTCGAACTCGACATTAATTGAGGCCTCCTTTCTTCCAATCTCTTCATAATTTCTTCAATCTTCTGCATGGCTTTAGTATCAAAGTCACTGCTAATCATGGCAATTAGTTAATTACAAAGGGTAAGAAGAAATGAAAAAAAGTAGTCTACAAAGTAACTCGAACACATATTAACATTAGTTATTTCCGAAATGTTTTTCTTACAACTAACCTCGTATCTAACAAAGAACAAAGCTCGGTCAGTTCCTCAATCGTTGCAGTGACTTCGTCCGCCACATTTTTATCACTTACCTTTGCCATTTCAGCAGTTAATAAGTTAATATGGTTCTCCATTTCCTCCTAAAGACAAACAAGCAGACAAGATATATCATATAAATGATTCATATATATTAGCCAGATACAAAAACAATAAAATTTAAAATAAAATAATAATATTTTTCCCCTATTTACCTTCTTTCTCAAGACAAGGCTCTTCGAATCTCCATCATTTCTATTCCGTAGCGACTCCAAGGCGTCAAACAATTCTCGAACAATACCCCAGTTTAAGTTTAGTTGAATATCCCCTTTTCCTTTCTCTGAGCTGGTTAACCGTGAATCGGTTTCCAATGTCGTTTTCAAAGATTGCGTAGTGGTAATAACTTGTTCACCAACAACATTTCTTTCGACGGTAGCTTCTTTATCACTGCTCTTAGGAAATAGTTTTTCGATGACCTCATTTCTACACGAGAAGGACTTCAAATCAAGAAAAACTGCATTAGGGCATAAAAACTCGAGACGACGACTATTCTCGTTCGAGCCTATAATAACAAGTGGATCCCCGATAATATTGAATGCTCCAGCAACTGCAGATTCGTCCGACACATTATTCATCCGTCTACACCTAATCGCTTCACAAAATTTCCACGGCAGCTGGTTTCGGATATGAGCTACTTTAAGCACGTCGAAAAGTACGTTGAACGACAACTCCGAATTCAGACACGACAAACACAGAATCATGAACAGCCTCAGCATAAGCACGGGAAAATAGTAGCTGCCGTTGATATTCGAACGAGCAATCCACTCTGCTGTACCCTGACTGTTATAAAGACATTCTCTGACCACACTCACCACAAAGTTAAACGTGTCTGCAGCATACGATTTCTCGTCCGTTGCTAAACCGGAACTCGGATTCGCATCCGATTTAAGGCACATTAAATACTCCACGAACGACGATTTCGTAGTGAAAAAAAACCCTCGGGAGTTAGGAACCAAAATCAAGAGCCTCTCCACGAGATAAAAGAAACATTTCGGAGAAATATAGTCACTCGCCCTCCAGTTTATGTTGTAAGTTTCTACAAGTGCATTATGAAACTCGCGACTAAGAGAATCTTTGGAAGATTCTTGCACACTGATCAGATTCTCGATGAATGACTTCCATGAAGAGCTTTCAGACAGCCTTGCGATAATTTTCTCATGAATTCCGTTTCTCTGCAATAATCCAGACCCGAGCATTGTCATCACCGCCTCTCCTATCTGCCTATACGTCAGTTCATTATTATTCCTTGAGCTAACAATATTTCTCGAGATAATTTCTTCGAGTAAATTATTGGAAAGTTCGGATTCCCTTAAAGAAACCATATCCTCAGATAACGAGTGTCGAGTGTCCAAAGGAAAAACAGAACTGAAGTATTTGGACTCGACGCATAACGAAACAAAGTTCTGCAGTTTCTTTGTGGTGGGTGATTTCGACTGAACGAACCTTGTTATGTCGAAAATGTGAACGAGGCACACACTTTGGCAGTACATAGACAACGAGGGCTTCGTCAGAAGAGATTGAAGAGCCTCCAGAACTCGTAGTCCAGTCGAAACTATTTCTTGACACCAATAATCTCGAGCAGCCGAAGCAAAATGACGAATATCAAGAGTTGACAACTTTCTTTTCGGCACAACGAACCTCTTATCGGAATTTCTAATCCATGCAGAATTAGGGTTGAGCAATATACAGGTGTCACTCGAGTTATTCGGCGACCTCACTCCAAAGTAGTTAAAACAGAATCGAGCAGTGTCTTCACATTCGCTGAGGTCAGCCCCTTCGATAGAATCGAGAAATTCGAAGATCTCCGAGCTTTGCACCTTCCATAGGTTCCAAGCGAAAACAAGTGTTCCACCAGAGACTTTGTTCTTCGACATTTTTTCTTCGAATAAACTCCGATCAAAGAGGAATTTTGTCGGATCCGATTCGTATTTTGTCGGATGCACTTGAAAATGGGCATCGAGGAATTTTCTGACGGATAGAATTTCGATCATACGAGATTTATATTGCTTCGAAGCACTATAACACTGCATCAACTCGGACAAGTTCATCCTATCACCCATACACAAAAAATTGGCCTCGGCACAAATTGACGCATGAAAATTTTCCGAAACCATTTTCGCATCCGAAATCGCTTTTGCTAAAATCTCTTCCTCTTGAGGAAATGATTTTAGAGGCCAACCTCGACTTCCATACACCCACAGAGAGTTATTCAGTACATACGAAATTACGAGCAAAGAAGCATTCCGAAAGTCCATAGCCTTTTCAAGCAAATCAATCTCACGTAAAACAAGCCCTAATTCTTGTGCAATGTCTACAGCCTCGATAAAATTTCCGGAATCTTCCTCCAATGTTAGAAGCTCCTCAAGGCAGTCCCTTGACTTCAAGAAGTTTCTTTTGGATTTTTCCGTACAGAAAGCACAAACAAACTTCATCATCGACGTACTGTCTTTGTTCTTATGACATTCCAAAGCACATTTTTCGAGAAACTGTTGTGCAATCTTGTTGATCTCCTTAAATCTCGTCATAATTCCGGTATCGGATGATGCTTGTTGTTTCCATTGCTCGATGTACTGCAGACCGAGGTCAAAATGATTGCCTTTGGTGCAAGCTGATAAGCACTCGTCGAAAAAATTCCCCTTGTTATAAACTTCAGTGGCAAGTTTGTAATTTCCAGCTAATGAGAAGCACTCCCCTGCTTTTCGAAGCTCAGACGTACCACATTTTTCCATGTATATCCTTCCTGCACAAGAAAATTAAATAAAAAAATCGATCGATTTATATGAATGCTTGTAGCTAACAAACTCAGCAAACTTTATTTATATGAATGCTTAAAAATTACAAATGCTCCTCTAATTTGGTTTATAAATCCGTCCTCTCGTATATTCAATATTTTATCAAGGCTAAGTTAGTATCGAATTTATGATTTTTAAGCTCCCATATGACTTCCTTCAAGTTTATTGTCGCGTAGTAAAATTAAAATCCATGCAACATAGGACCAAAAAAACTACAACATGAATCGAGCTCAAATTTTCGTTAATTTTTAATCAATAATCTCTCGTTTTCTATATAACTCATGCCACAAAGTGATTAACAAATTAAACTAAACCACCAAAAAGTTCCTTAACACGTAATTCTTTCAAATTAAATTAGGTTATATTTATTTTTTTCAAGGTACATTTGGAAATCTACTAATAAATGTACCTGCTCTTTCGTAATCCCCCAAGTCGCAAAAACATTCAGCTGCAGTATCAGCTCGATCAATAGAATCAAATATTTCGGCAGCCTCTCTAAGCATTACACGTGACTCTTTAGGGTTTGAACCACGCATAGAGTCGGCCGAAGCTCTAAGACCAGAAGCCTTAGCCCTTTTTTCCCATGTTTCTTCTCCGGCTTTTTCGAAGCACACTGTTGCCATCTCATAATTTTTCTCCCAATAGAGCTGCAAAAATAAAATAAAGAAAAATAAAAATACAATTAGAAAAAATAATGCAAAATACATTTTAAAAAAAAAACCGGGAAAAGACGATTAAAAAACCTTGATTCCCTGTGACTTCCACTCCTCGGGGCTGCTATTTTTTTGCATAGCTAATGCAAGAGAGTCGTCTATTTTCCGCACTTGGACAAGGCACAACCTTGTCCAATAATCGAGTATGGGCTTCGATAGAGCTTCATTGTTTTCACATATCCACAATCTTTGCCTCGTTCGAGTGATCGCAACATATAGTTGCTTTAGTTCAGAGCAAAGGATATTGTGTCTCGACTCGCTAAAACTTGGAAACGACTTTGCAATAGTGGAATCAAGTAGATCCTTTTCTTTCAAGTATTCGTACAAAACCCTCCATTGATCACTCATTGGTGATGAACCAAAAAAGTTGTACAATAAAACATCCTACAAGATTAATTCTTACATTAGTTTTATTCCGTGCAAATATTACATATAAAAAATACAAAAATTTAAAGTGGTTCAGATACAATTACAAAACTAAAAAATAAGCATTTTTTAATTTCTAACCTGAAACTCGAGCCCCTTGCACTCAACTATAGTAAGAACAAGAGCTTGTTTGCCGATATAGTTGAGTATTTCCTTTCTCGCAGAATCGTCCCGTACTAGAATAACTTGGTCAGCACCAAAGCCCACCCATTTTTCACCATAATGCCCACTATGACCAAAAATACTCATAATCAAGTTCTCGTCACTACCCGGTTCGAGTACAATAGGCGACTCGCCATATATAAAACTACTCTCTGGAGACAATACATCAATCGATTGTGGAAAAAAATGGCAAATGAGATCTATGACACTTTGCGCTAACCTAAGTACACCGGTATGAGTACGAAAATTCTGCGACAAGCAAAACGTATCCGATACAACCCCTTTCTCTCTTCTTCCTAAAACCGATGATTTCATAAAAAACTCATTATAGAACAATGATCTAATGTCTTCAAACCGAAAGTCAATCCCTCGTGCAATTGTCTGTGCTGTATCTCCACAAAATACAAATCCTTCGTCCACATTTTTGCAAATAAACCGGAAAAGAGAAATTTGCCGCATTGTAAGGTCTTGCACTTCATCGATGTACACGAAATCCATTTTATCACCCATTAAATCCTCCTCATTCTTGAGCCGTAGATGAATATCGATCACAAAATCAGCAAGATCAAATTCACCACGCTCCATTTTCATTTTCTCGTAGTCCTCAAACACGTCGTAAATCGCATCCCTTTTCTCCGCACTTAAAGTGGAAACCCTACTTTCGGATAATGAAACATAGGCCTCTCTGCTTCGTTTGGTTTCGCCCGATTCGCCGTCTTTTAGACTTCCTTTTATATGCGACATTATTTCGGTGAACACTCTTGAAGGATCAAGAATTTTTGTACACTTAGCATTGAAGTGGGGCCAGTAAAACGACCGAAAACGGTCATATGTAACCTCGTTTGTCCTAATGAAAGTCTGCAGTGCAATAGATCTTCTTCCTTCGTACTGTGAGGAGCCTCTTACTTCACGAAATCTTTCAAAGTAAGAATTACCCAAAGTTCCATCGAGCATCATTAGAAGCTTATGAAATGTGATAATCAGAGGATATTTTTCTGGTTCGATGCCAACAAATGTGTCGGGGATATCTCTGAATTCAAGCATTTCATCTAAATCGTCCATATCCGTGGAGTTGTTATTTCCGGAGGCATCCTCACTAGCAAAGCTGTATATAAACAACATTAAATAGATATATACAATGTTAATGTTATAAATATTATTCAGGAAAAATCGGAATCTTTAGAAATTGTTTAAATTGGCATGTAAGTCAATATTGCAAAACAAAACACAAAAGAAATAAAAATACGCGATAAATCTATGGGTAACATTTCCACATTCTATTGTAAAAGATCAGAGCTCCAAGCGCACCTCTTTAGCTGTGTTACGTGTTTTTTGACAGCATAACAGAGTTTCGGACTAACGGTAACAAAAAGCTGATGCAAAATAGGCGCAACATCGCCAGCTGTCACAGAATCCCGTGTGGCAACGGAGTACTGATGAAGCTTCTGGTACAACTTCATAGTCAAAATAGTCGTCTTCCCAGTACCAGATCGACCTAATATAAAGCTGCTCCTCGGAAACATTATTATTGCACGCTCTTCATCGGTAACCTCAAATGGGAGATCCACTTCTCTACCCTCGACATCGGTAAGCAAATGATTCACAACATCACTCGACAATGAATAAAATTTCATCAACAGTAAGCTTTCGTTCACTTTGGCATTTTCAACATGACTTCTGCAGTCAACGGTACCATCGACTTTGGTGTCATTTTGGTTCTTGAACCGGATTACATCATCGGAAACTGACCAACTCTTTGGCACCTCCAAATTTCTGAAAAATAAAATTAAAAAACAGAATTAATTTCGACCAATGAATTGGAATTAGAGGAAATCGTAAATTAATTAACGTACCCCTCGCACAACTTCTCGTTGCAGCGGTCGATAAAATCATCCGTATACATAGCAAAAATGCTGTCGAGTCGTTTCAAGAGTTTTGCAGTCTCCGTCATGGGCAATATATCCCACACTTTGAAAATTTGTACGTAAACAGGGTCCTTAACCAAGTCGATTGAGCACACAACATAGTATTTTGCAACCTTGATTTGCTTCACAATGTACGAAGAGCTCTCGCATTTCCAGTCCACGTTTATATTCTTGGGCCGCCAGCCACTTGCAAGCTTAAGTAAAACAGTTATTGCCAGCTTCTTCACATTGGAAGGGTTCAATTTCTGAAATGACTTTCGGAAGTTTTCACTGAATACAACCTGAAAAATTTGCCATTTCGGAAATTTGAAGTTGTAGAACTATTTGTTTAGGCTAGAAGAATCAACAGATAAAATTTGAGCTATGTAGCACGGACACAGAAACGGATGGAAACGGTGAAATGGACACTGAGAATCGGCATATCCCGAAAATGGGGATACATGAGCTTGCGGAAAATGTGTAAATATTAAAAGTATAGGGGTATATTTATAAATATGTTATATAAACACGTATAAGTTTATATTTATATATAAATTCTTTTTATATATTCTCATACAAACATATGCATAATAAATTTTACTATCAACTATCAATTTGCAATTGATCATTAAGCATGTAAATAACTATGGAAGCAACACAAATAATTAAAAATTTGTTCACTAAACATGTTTCTAACTTTTTAGAAATTGCAAAACAACCCATAAGGTGTCCGGCAAGTGTCGGATCCGATACGCGGAAACATTAAGCAAGTTTTCGTGCTACATAGAATTTCAGCATAACATAAAACAAACGAGTTGTACCTTCCATCTTGAATTTTTGAAAAGTATACTCTCCCCACTAAGAAGTTCTTCAAGTTGTTCCAACTCTTTCTTAACGTCTATAATAACTTTTCGAATGTCGCAATCTTCATCGGCAGTGAAGAAACGATCGCGTTCCTTAGCATCGGATACTAGTGCTTTCCAAACTGAATCACTTTCGCTTAAAGTTTTTTCACTTCCCAATATCCAGAGACAATGACTATAAGTAAATAGAAAATAAAAAAGAAAGCAACGGATCATTATCGAAAAGAAAAATAGAACCAAATTCAAGTAATTATAAAATAATCATTTGACGGCATACCGAGCTCTGGTCAAAGCTACGTTGGTTCTTTGAGTACTAGACAAAAAACCAACGGAACCACTTTTATTCGACCTTACAGTTGATATAATTATTATATCTTCCTCCCCGCCTTGAAAGCCATCGATTGACTTCACATTGACTATAAACTTGTCAAAGTTCTCATACTTGCGTTGAAGCCTATCTCGAATGGCTGCAGCTTGTGCAGCGTAAGGGGAAATCAAGCCGATGCTGAGTTTCTCGTTTGATCCATTCCATGCTGTTCGTTAATTACATTACAACAAATAAAAAATGGATCAGTTTCAACCGACACATCAAAAAACGTGAAATAGAGAATCGTGATTAGCATACCTTTGAAGAGTTTGTGCACTAGCATCACAGCTACAGCCACCTCAACCATATTTTTTCGACTGCGCCCGAAATCATCAAATTCTTCGTTATTCCCGGGAATATCTATAAACGAATAAGGCCCGTAAATCCTCCCTTGAAGATAACATCTTTTGTAGCTTAGTTTCTGCACATTAGATGCATCTAATATCCGGTTCTGATAGAAACTCGAATTCGGAAACCGACTTATCGATGGATGCATTCGGTATTGCACATTAAGCAGATGCTTTGAGTGACCTAACAAACTCAATCTTTCAAACATACTTCTCCCAAATCCAGCTTCTTCCGATATCTGCGCGAGTATAAAAAATATCAGGTATTACTTATATTTAATAATTAATATAATGAAATTTATTTAATCAAATATTTAATTACCTTGCTCTTAACTGTGGCTGGTAATTGGCATTCGTCTCCAACAAGAACTGCATGCCTCAAACCTGGCATCTGAAGTGCTATGTTCGATTCGCACTCCTTCACTTGAGCAGCTTCATCGATTACCAACATTTTGAAAAGTTCCGTTTTACGATTGTGTAGCGTAAACGCAGTTGAAGTGGTGCAAAAAATTAAAGTAGCGTTTCTGAAACAAAAATCCGTGCAGGTTATGTCGATGCCATTCGGAATGCCGAGTTCACGTAGAGAAGCCCTAAGGGATCTCAGAATATTCAGACATTGGCTTCTCGTATACATTAAGGACGGTTCTTCAACACCGACCATTCCCTCTCGTAAAAAGATTCTCTCGAGTTCGTCAGATGTCAAGCTCTTGTCTTCAAACAAAAACATCTCGATCGAATCGAGGAGAGACATAAGTTGTGTTACGCTTTGAAATATCTGCTGCTCGTGAACGAAACTTGATGGCAAATGAGGGATTAATGCTGACTTGCAATCTCTCAGTGGTGTTGCTAAATTTGCAAATTCGTCCCTAGCAAACTCCAAAAGCGACTTATTAGCCTCATTCTCAAGACTCTTTTTTTCTTTTATTATCTCATTCTCCACAAAGATTCGATGCTGAGAAACACAGTCTTCGAGAAAATCGAGCATGGATGCAAAAGAGTATAAGCAATGTGCAAGTTTCTCGACACGGTAATCCAAATAGATTTCCTCGATATCCGAGCCAACTCTCAGACGGTCCTTATTTCCAAAGATGAGCATCTCTCCTAAAGGACATGACGAATAATGGTTCTCCTTGGATGATTTTTTTACCAGTGCTACCACACGAGTGGCGAGTTCTTTAATTGCGACGTTTGTCGGTGCACAAACGAGTGTCCGAACGTTCATTTGCAGGAGAAGATGAAGCAAGTTGCTTAAGGTTGATGTTTTTCCAGTTCCAGGTGGACCCCATATGAGTTCGACTGATGACTTGTGGCTGCACTCGGATTTCGATAGACAAGCAGAAATTGCATCGAGCTGCGATTCGTTTAACTTGGACGATATACTCGATCGCAGTTTCCCCTCCATCTCAACATTGTATTCAAAAGCGCAAACTTCACACATTTCCACACCCTGTTTAATTGGTAAATACACACTAGTTAAAATTCGATGTAACATGCAGTTTAATGAAGCAATATTCAAAACCAATATCTAACAACGAGGAAGCTATGAATAGATTTTTTTTTTATCTTTTGTAATTTCTATACAACCATAATCATATCAAAGAAAAATGAATAGATTTTTCTAAAAATAAAAGGGGTAAATTTCTAAGCTATGAATAGATATTTCTAAAAATAAAAGGGGTAAATTACAGGCACCCATAGGGTAAGACAAAAGAATTTACAAACCCCTATGGTATTGCTAATCACAAATATCCCCTAAGCTATTTCTCCATCGTACAATCACATCGGAATCTTAAAGATTCCACGGAATCTTCTGAGTGACAACACCTGTATTTTACATAATTAGGTAAAAAAATTGTTGTCATTATGCTTGTCACTAATGGGGTGTCGCTAATGCTCTATAGTGACAATGAATAAGGATTAAGTGACAAGAATTAAAAGAGCTATTAGTGACAACAAAAAAAATGTTGTAATTTAATGTATGCATTTAGTGACAACTTTTGCATTTGTCACAATCCGGGTGTCGCTGATGCAACTTTTTCTTGTAGTGATTTCCAAATCTAACCCCAGGTGGAAAATGTAATATACCCATGGGGGAAAGTGAACCATTTATAGCTGGAACATGAGTTTGAAAAATAGTAATAAATCCTTACCACGTCATTCTTCGTGAGTGATTTCTCGATAATGTTCAAATTCTGACGCATACGTAACGCTTCCCATATTCTTTTATGTGGTATTATGTTCATCAAGTAAACCATATGACGCGACTTTCTTTGTCCATCTTCAATGCGCTCAGCAGACTTTCTTTGTCCATCTTCAACGCCCTCAACAGTTGTAAGTTCAAAACTACGATCAATCTCGTCGTACGTGATATCTTTTATACACGCAAAATTATACGTCCCGCCGTTAAGTGGTGAGTGGGAAATGGTTTCGGGTTTCGAATCGGAAAGAAGAACAACATCACCGGGCGAGATTTTTTGCCGCTCACCACCAAAATCACCGACACTATTTCCCCATTGATCAACCTTAACAATGTACACGACGTTCCGATGTGTTGCCTCGGTACAAGATGTCACTTCAGCAAAAGGTGCACTACATATAGTTTCCATGGCGGAAGCAAGTTGGGCACGTGTTTCTTCTAATAAAGGGAAGATGTACGAACCAAGATACTGGTCAACAGATTCAAATGACATTGGAATCTTCTCCACCTATATACATGTAAAAGGAAATAATTAGAAAGGTACGTACTACAACTAACAGATAAAAATTGATTGTCTAATTTGTTGTAATATCTATTTCTTTGTATCTTAACGCACGTGTTCTAATCTACACTTATATAATATATGAGCTATTCAATCTGATTTCTACAGACAGCCAAGTAATATATATACACGGGCTAACTGAACCATGTATATATATATATATATATATATAATTGGAAAATTAAAGACCTGGTATTGGTACATATTCTCATCACAGATATCTTGAAGAGACCATGAAAGCACCAAATCGGTGAACACATCTCGCTTGCTGGAACGATTCCCCTCCATTTTCACTTCTGAAACAACTTCTCAAAGACTCTCTCTCTCTCTCTCTCTCTCTCTCTCTCTCTCTCTCTCTCTCTCTCTCAGCTAATTTCTTCAACTCTCCTTGCTATAAATTTTCAACAGAAAACCTGCAAAAACAAAATTATTGCATGCATGAAGGATCAAGGTCTTTGAGAAATTAAGGAAAAGAATAAAGAGAAGAAGAAAAAGATACCAAGAATATTCCGGTATACATACTTGTGAACACACACACACACACACACTAGTAAATACTGATTTTACAGAAATGGGGGATTTGAAGGAAATTGAATCGTCTTTCCATTTTCCAATACTTAGCTGATGACTTATGGTCTTCTTTTCTTTATCTTTTTTTTAATTTTCTCACTCATGCTGAAAAAAAAAAAAAAAAAACAAATCTTTTTACTTTCTTTTTTTTTGGGGGGTGTGTGTGATCGGGAGTACGGTAAAGCTACAAAACTTCCTAGTTAAGTATCAATCCTCAATAATTCATATCACATGAGTATATCAATTGGATAAACTATTGTTGGAAATTCAGTATTACACGTGTAATAAACTTGTACAAAATTAAATAAATGTCAAATTATATATATAAAAATAAATAAAATTAATCGCATAATTACTACCAACCCCTCAACTATGAAATTTCTTACACGTTCACCTTTGCGGTGTCAAATTTAGTGGAATATTCCAAATTATGTGGGATATTCTCTAGTTTGTACTCGTTTGACCTAATTCGAGCTCCACATTTTGAAACAAGATTCGAGCTCCACTTGGCTTGTAACTATCAGATTGTGGTGCATTATAAACTGTATTTTTGCACAAAACGAGCAAACTAGAGAACATTCTACGGAATCTAGAAGTTTTTGTTGAATTTGATACCATAAGGTTGAACGTGTACGAAATTCATAGCTGAGTGGGTTGTTGTAATTATTGGAGATATTCAATGATACATTTCACTAATAGCTTAACCTTTTGGTTGAGATCGTCATTCAATATGGTATCAGAGTCAGATCAAATGAAAAGGTCATGAGTTCCAATCCCACCGCCACACATTTCAAAACTTTCAAGTGCAAGGCTTTAAATGTAATTCGTCTGCACTTGAAAGGGCATGTTAGAGATATTAATATTAAATGATACATATATATATATATATATATATATATATATATATATATATATATATATATATATATATATATATATATATATATATATATATATATATATATATATATATATATATATATATATATATATATATATATATATATATATATATATATATATATATATATATATATATATGTGAAAATTGAGTTTATTAGTCCTGTAAGTTTGCTAGTTGAGAGTTTTAGTCATCATGTTTTAAAATCAGAATTTTAGTCCTGCAAGTTACAAAAGTTGAGAATTTTAATCATATGACCTGCTATAAAAGGTAATGTGATGGTTGGTTGAATGAGTTGACATTTAAAATATAAAAATAAATAGATTAAAAATAAATTAAGTGATATGGCTAATGAGTTTGATGGTTTTGCAGAAAAAAATGATCCTCAATGTCAAATTCACCAAAATAATGAGGAATTTTAACATATTAAATATTAATTTATATATTTAATTTTTTTTGTTATATTTGCAATAAATAACCACAATAAACCCATTGAATAAAATCTACAACTATATTTATATAAAGGAAATAAGACTAACTAATATTTAATTAATATTTCTTAGTTTTTATTTGATAAAAATAATAATTAAATTCATATTTATCTAAATATTTTACTTTTTTACAAATCTAGACTTAGTTAGTGATTACAATGAAATCGAAGCAACAATTAAATTCAACATAAAATCGAGAAAAAACCTTTTATTAAACCTTCGTAAAATTAAATGACATGCACAATCATAATTAGTATAAGAAATCAAATACACATTTACGAATTAGTATAATTACAGTTTTGGTCCCCAAGTTTACACATTTTTCACTTTTGGTCCCCCATTTACCGCCGTCTACAAAATACACACTAATGTTGTCACATTTTAACACATTTAGTCCCTCCGTTTGTTTGACCGTCAAGAAGTAACGGTCAAATGTTGAATTAGGGCTGAATTTGGGATTTTTCATTGAGAAAATTGCACTCAAAACCCTGCATTCTTTTAAAATAATATAAAAACCCCTAAATTTTTATTCAACCCTAATTTAACACCAATTTCATCATTTAATGAATTTTGATAAACGACCCTAATTTTGCCACCATTACCGCTGACCGTTGACCGCCATTGATTTTATTTTTTTAACTTTTTTTTCCTTTATTTTTTAATACTGTTTTTGACGTCGTTCCCCGACATTGTATTCTCGGTTAACAAAGTTGACTTTTTAAATTTTCTTGATTTTTATGAACTTTTTTCTGTGACTTTTTTTTTCCGATCAACACAATATTATTACTATATAACACAATAATAATACTATATTAATATCTAGTATTATAATATTAAAACTACAAACTTCTAACAAAATTTTTATCTAAAATTCTGGGGCCTAAATACAATTTAAAAAAATTCTAAAACCATAGTTTGTTCCGCTCATTTTTTTCTTCATGGAATTGCCAGTGCATCCTAAATTTCTTCCCAAATAAATATGAAGAAGATGGATTAGGCATGTGCGGAGTAATTTGGAAATGAGATAACCACTCTAGTAAAACAGTTTTTGGGGCTAACACCGGCCGTTAATTTTTATCTTAAAAATTTTCCGTCATTGAGATGCGCTGACTTTTTCCTTTTTCTTTTATTTTGACTTTTTTATGATATTATTTTCTCGATGATTATCAGCTTTGACTTTTTTTTTAAATTATATTTTTCCCACTACTCAACAATTTAAATAAAAATAAAATAAAAATCAAGAAAAAAATGTCGACGTTGTTAACCCGGCATCAAAATCGGTCAACGAAGGCAAAAAAAAAATCAATGAAAAAAGAGTCAACCAAGTTAAAAAGAAAGTCAACGTCGGATTACCCGATTTTGAAAAATCGGGGTCATTGGTTGAAATTGGTTAATTGATCTAATAGGGTTTAAATTATGGTTGGATAAAATTTTAGAGGTTTTTGGAATATTTTGAAATAATACAGGGGTCTTATTGCAATTTTCTCAAAAAAAAACCCCAAATTCAATCGTTGACCGTTACTTCTTAACGGTCAAACATACGGAGGGACTAACTGTGTTAAAATGTGACAACATTAGTGTGTATTTTGTTGATGGCGGTAAATGGGAGACCAGAAGTGAAAAATATGCAAACTTGGAGGACCAAAACTGTAATTATCCCCACTAAAATATGACCTTTTTTCTTTCTTTTTTTTTTTTCTTTTTTTTTTCTTTTTATAAATAAGAGACTGAAATATGATTTGACTTGGTCCACTATCGTTGGCTTGGGTTGATGCTTTTAATTTTTAGTTGGGGACATAAACTCTTTAAATTATAACTTAAAAATATATGATTATAAATTATCATCACTCTTAAAGTATTCAAACTTTTATAAATTATTATCATCACTTTTAAGTGAAGTTTTGGTCGTATTTTCAGCATCAAGATTTATTTTGGCGGACAATTATTTGATTTATGCTCGATTTTTGGATTATAGCCACCGTTACAATATGTTCGTTTCTCGGCCGACGCATAAATTGCAACGTAGAGGTCTTATGTACAATCGACGCTTCAACGTTTCGTAGCCTTCTCTCACTCAATGAATCACAGTGAACAAACAGGAGAAGATAGAAAAGAAAGTTCCGATAATTCGAAAAAAAACCCGTCAAAGATAAGCACCCCCATCAAATATCATACAAAACCATATTTGAAAATGTGGCATGGATTATAAATTTATAGTAAACGCCCTCAAAATCGAAAAACTACAACTTCAGGGATTACAACTTATCCATTACAAACTCATACGAAAGAAGAGTAAAAGAATAAAAAAAAAAAAAAAAAAAAAAAAAAAAAAAAAAAAAAAACCACTACCATCCCAAATGTTTTTGTAGCACCCTCAATAATACAATAAGAAATTTGGAAAGAGATTTTAAAGACGGACTTGTTAAATTTTTTGAGTCCAATTTATACTTTACTTAAAGCCACGTAAACCCTTAGAT